AAACTAAGGCACCTCTGAAAGTGGTGAATGAGCTATTAATATTTAATCCAGCATAACAGGTATTAACTAGGACTTCCCTGAGCAAACAAGATGTCTGATCACTTTATCCATTCCTCTCCAGCGCTTTGAGAAGATGGTTAGTACCAATTGCTTGGCAATTGTAGTTTAATTTACCAGGGTCATGGAATTATTTTAAGTTGCTTGTGGTCTCCTAGGTGCTCAGCACATGAATGAGACCCAGGACTGAATGGAAGAGTAGTTTGTCATATTTTTATTTTTATTAGAAACAGCCTCAACTGTTGAAGCTTTTCTTCTTTTCACCTTCTCTCCTGAACTCATATTACACTTAGAGAAGACCTCTGTACCAGGCAATCTGTAGTAACTCATTAAATTCCTATAGCAATCATGCAAATAAAAACTTTTGTTTGGCCTGTTTTACAGCCAAGGAAGCTGAGGCTTAAGATAAAAGGAATGGCCTGAAGTCCAGTAAGCACTAGGGTTGTAACTCAACCCCAGAAAGCATTTCACTTGTGGTTGCTTTTATGATGTGAATCTTAAATATCACTGGTGCCATCCTCGTGCTTCAAGATCAATGATAGGGGAATGAATAATCAGCAGATTGTTGATTTTGTTTGTATAATGGTAACCTGGAAGTGTAAGTGGGGAGAAGGAACAGGGCACCAGGTGAGAACCAACCCATACAAGGCAGTAAGCCTGGAAGACTATTGGTGCCAGAAAGCCAAGTGAGTCATTGAGATTTATCAGACCCATTAGTAATAGAGGTATTTGAGAAACAAGTGAAAGGCAGAAAGGTCATATTTTTAAAAATCTATCATCAGAATTCTGAAGATTGGTCTTGAAATAACTGCTGTGCATTGCCGAAAAATATCCTTCCTGCGTTTACTTTGCACATCCACTTGCCTTTAGGATCGCTCCCATGGAGTTCATATCCAACCCTGTTTCCCTGTCAGCTGTACCATGCTCTGCTTGGATCCCCCCTACTCTCACAGTTCAAATCAATTGGAAACTTAGGGGGCAATTCTTTAGGTCAAGTCATTGCTGAATAACCCAGCATCAGGGCTCTGCACCCAGAATTCTCCATCTGTGCGATGGGCCCTGGCTCACCTGGACATGAATCACACAGAGACACTCTTCACATGCTGATTTCCCCTCCCTTTGCTTCCACCCTTCCAGGAAAGACTGGTGCAGGCCTTCACAGAGCATCTATAAATATTCCTCCATGTTTATAGCCCATTCATGCATTTCCTGTTAAATATTGTTCTTGATCTTTAAGTTGCCACCTTTTCTAAATGTTATTTCTTTTGACTATAATAACTATTGCCTGATGATTTAGTAATGACAAAATATGCATAAATCAAAATTGAATTCAGGCTAGTTTTTTATTAGCCATAATCATGCTTGAGCAGTAAGTAGTTTATGTTTGCAAACAGGCACTTTAATTTATTGTTATTTTTTCATAGGCCTAATGAGGTTGGAAGCATCACTCACTAAGCCCCACAAACTCTGTGTTTTTATTGACACTTAAAGCCTTCTGCTAATAGGATGCTATTGAAGAATTTACTAGAAAGGAGGACATATCCTTTGGAAATAGCAGAGGACCAGCCATGTGGACTCCTCCCTGGAATGCTCCTCTCTTTCTCTTAATCTTACTGTAAAGCCTCTTTTATGAAAAAAATCCATGGGTTTTGATGTCTGTTTAGCTGCAGTTTTAATCCTCGCTAGGTGACTTTGTGCAAATTATTTATCTCTTTCTCCTTCTGTTTTCTTATTTATAAAATAGGTATGATAATAATAGTATTAATAATAATAAAAATAATAATAATAGTAATAATACCAACCTCATAAAGTGTTGTAATAATACAATGAGATATCATATGCAAAATGCCAGGAAGTGGATCTGCTGTAGATTATGGTTATAATACCTGGAAACTTCCACTACATTTTACATGTATTTGTGATACAAATGCTATCTACCCGAAAAGCCACTGTCTCCCCCTTCTTGGCCTTCACTTTAATACCTATAGGGCATGAAAATCAATGCAACTATTTTTCCCAGTTTGAATTTTACCCAGAATTGAACCAGAAAACAGATTACCTCTGTGTGTGAGTGTGGACTGTGCATGTGTTTATGTGTATGGTATGCATGTGTGGGTTCAGTGTGAAGGAAGAGGCACTGGTCATGTTCTCTCTCAATGTAAAATAAGGCATTCCCTTCATTTTTTTTATTGTCTTCGGTCTTCATTTTTTGTCTCCTAAGATAACAGTTGGGTAGAATACACACACACACACACACTCATGTGTAAACCCTAAAGGTAAACAGTAATTTTTAGAATAAGTACAGTATAATTGGAATTAACTACGAGTGGAGGAATAGAGTTTTTCCCAAAGGCATAATTATTTTCAAATAGTGTTCCTACCCAAATGAAGATAGTTTTTATATTATTATGCAGAACCGTTTTAATTATCCTTTTTTAAATCTCCTTTTTCTACACTCCTTACAGGGCCTTAACTACATTTCAGAAGGAACCAATTATAGCACACCTCTCTGTCAAATACTGGTAGCTTCTGCCCTTTGACAATATAAGCATTTGCTGTCAGGAAATAATGTTCTCATTCAAATGGGACAACGGAGACAATTAAATGGATTATTTACAAAGCAGTGAACAGGATGAATGTAAGCTAGCAGTACCTTGACAGCCCAGATCCTGAAGGCTGATAGAGGCAGGAGCGGTGAGTAGAACTCAGAGGAAGCGGTGGTAGGACAGTGTCACTACGCAGGAACTGTGGCTTTTATAGGGTGGGCAGCCAGCTTGTGGTGATCCAGAGGATAAAATTGGTGGAATAAATAGCCTAATTTCTCTCTCTCCCCTGCCATCTTCTTTCCTTCCATTTGTGCCCCCTCCCTCAGTTGTCAAGCCCAACTAGAAGCCAATGGGTAAGCAGGCTAATGATGCAGCCCTTGTGCGGACAGCCTCCTTGTCACAGAGCAGGCTCAGGAAGGGCAGCCAAAGCAGGGAGCAGATGGGAAAGGGTCCACACATGTCCTTAACTTACGGTTCAAGATCACGAAATGCACAAATGTGTTAGTCTTCCCCTTTTTTTCTTAATCTCATTAAAATCATAGAAATGAATTTTAAAAGCCCTAGTTCCCTGTGAACAAAAAAGAAGAGGACCCTCAGTGGATGAAAGCCCTAAGTTAATTTATGGAAGATTAATGGACAGACAGACACTAAAGAGCAGGGAAGCTGATGGCCTCCCAGGAAGCCATGACCTAACGTAACAGGAATGTGGGTGGCAGTGGAAGGGGAGCCACCTACCAGGGAGACTCGTTAGAACCTCGATGCCGAGGCTCCTCTGATGGAAGACAGGAGGAGCGGCTGCACTGAAAAATATGGGCTATATAAAGCCTTTAGATGACCAGTAGACACGTAGAAATAGTGATAGAAAAAGACTGAACGGTGGTGCAAAGTAATTTCTTATCAATTATAGCAGAAAGTCAATAGATAATGCCTAAAGTTAATAAATCAAAAAGTAATGCCCTAGGGATGTTACTTATAGATTTGGAGGTGACCACAGAAGAAGTACATGAACAGCTCATAATGTTTGGGGAGGGAGACAGGGAATGGCTGGTAGTTGTTTCTTCTCACTATGTCTTTTTGTAACAATGATTTTTTAAAAACCATGTGAAAAAATAACTTAATAAAGGCTCCTTTTAGTTCCCTTTTGTTTCACTCCACTCAGTTTACTGGCTTTCTAAAACTTTTCTTCTTAACATGGTTAGGTCCACTATCTGTCCCAAACCTACAAACTGACTCAGTTTTCTCCTATATCCCCCATCTCTCTGTTTTTTATAAACACCCTCTTGTGCACACACCCACACCGTACACACATCGGCCTTCTAAATGCAGATACATCTCTCTCTGTAAATCTCATGCCCCTATATCTCAGCGCCTTTTCTCCCACTGTTTCCCTCGCCTGGAATGGCTTCAGCATTGTTTTTTTCTTGTTCAGCCTTCAAGTCCCAGAATAAATACTGCCTCCTCCATGAGCTGTCTCTGCTTCCCAGAGACACAAATGCTTATGCTTTATTCTCTACTCTCCCAGCGCTTCGCCCCAGTCTGACACTTCTTGCTTTACAGTGACTCGTCACTAGTTGTGTGTCTGTTGGCCCCTTCTCTTGCTGTTTGATTGTAAGTTGGAGAATTGGCATCTTCATGCCTAATGTAATATGTGGCACACAGTAATTGAAATAGTTGATAAGCTCTATAACTATAATTGGGTTTCGTCACTGGTGTTGACTCAGAAGGCGTGTAAGGTTATAAAATGAACGCCACAACACATTAACGTGAACACCAGCTGTCTTTTTAGCGAGATGCCTGTTTATACTTCTGCTTTGCAAAATCATAAATTAAACAGTATTTTGTCACAATTTTAGTGCCTCTTTCCTAAATTTCAATTGCATACTTATTGTCTCAGGTTATGAGGAATGAGAAATCTAATAAACTAATACCCATAAATATGTTATGAATGTAGTAATTTTTATGAGTGTTTGCCTTGTAAAACATAGCCCAGAGAGGGAAATGCCTTGCCCTAGATAGTGACTCGCTGCTAGTAAAATTCTGGGCCCCTGAGCTGTTGTTTTGAGATGAAAAGGGGTTTCTGCAGCCTCTCAGGTTATGCCATGTAACTCTTATGCCATAGACAATATGGATTCAGATGAATTTCAAAAACATTAAGACAGTGGAAAACAACCTTAGCATATTAGAATACATAGACTTGAAATCACAATAATTAAGTGTAAAGTGTGTCTCTCTAGAAGTAAGATTGAGTGTTAACTGCTGGTCTTTGCTTTTATTCTTATTTCTCAAGCTTTCCACGTGTCCTTCACCTCATTTTTTTTTCAGTTGCTATCTAACCCTGGATTTTTCTCTGCATCCACATAGAGGAGCACTATAATTTTTTTTTTTCCTTTACTTCAGGAAATGCCACAATAAGACAGTCTCGATACAGGATTATCAACCAGGAAGCAGCCAACGGAGGCCAAGAATGCCCAGACACCTTATTTGAAGAGCGAGAGTGTGAAGAAGTCTCATTGTGCCCTATATATCGGTAATTAGTTGCCTTTTGGAATAATCGTTAAACTGCAGTATAAATTATGACTTGTTTTCTTTCATATAATATATGATTGTTTAGTGAGAGGTAAGATGAGGTAATGTTGTTTATCTTCAAATACCTCTATTTTTTTCCTTCCTATCTGGAATATATTTTGAGGAAGTAAAGAATATGAAAGTCTAATTTATAGGATAAAGAAACAAGCATGTTTTGATCGTAAGTGAGCTTTTGGAGTTCTGCCACTCAGGAATCTTTCCAGGATCAGGATTCAAGGAGATTCAGGATGAGGCCTTTACCTGAGTGGTCCCCCTGCCCCCCTCCCCCACACACACACTTGTGTGCAGACAAAGGTAACTTATCTCACTCTATTATTCTCATCCTAAAGCCTTTTTTAGCAAGAACTACAAACTGGCCCAGCTGGCGTGGCTCAGCAGTTGAGCATCGACCTAGGATCCAGGAGGTCATGGTTTGATTCCCGGTCAGGGCACATGCCCGGGTTGCAGCTCGATCCCCAGCAGGGGGCGCGCAGGAGGCAGCCGATCAACGACTCTCCTCATTGATGTTTCCATCTCTCTCTGTCCCTCTCCCTTCCTCTCTTATTTAATAAGCATTAAACCAAATTTGTACTTATTTAGTAAGTATTTAACTCAAAACTGTTTTAGTTTTCAATTTTTATTATATACATATTTTAAGAAAAGATCTAGTTAGGAAAAAAAAGTTTAACCTATGGTTAAAATGTTTAAAAATAAAAGAAAATGGTTAACTTTTAAACTATAAATGTTATCTATATATTCCTTCTTGGCAAGTAGGTGGTTATTTATAAAAAAACAATACCTGAGGTCTGTGTGTCTAGACATAAACTTCTACTCTTAACACTGGATTGAGACATTTCTTTAAGACATCTGTATTAAATTCAATGTTTGGTTTTATTGATTTGTGAAGAAATCCCATGGTCTTAAGAAGCATGTAGTTATCAGCACACTTAAAAATGCCTTTAGCAAAAATGCCTAGTGGCTCCCTGGGTTATTTGAGAAGCTATATTTTAAAGCCATGAAATCCAAGGGCTAATTTATTCAGAAAAATACAAGTTATTTTTTTCTTCTTATAAGTTGACTCATTACATTAGATAAAGTTGAGGGTGCTATTTAGGAAATCTAATTACTATAGGTTTTAGAATCCCTTTATTCCCACTGTTTCTATCTGATGACCAGTCTGGGGAGGGTGTAGATAAACACTGGGAACATGCCCAGACTACTACTTTTTCCTCATTGTGGAAACACTGACAATATCCATCCTTTTGTGCCATATATATAAATATTGAAACTTCTGAGCTTAGCTAAAGATTTCTCAGGGATAGCAGCCAATTGAAAAAACTGGCCAAATCAAATATGATTACACATTTTTATGAACCCAGGGCTATTATAATCAGAGAAAATCCTAGGAACCATTAGTGGGCTCTGCCTTTCTATTGTCCGCTCTCCTGACTCTCGCTGCACTTCAATTTAGCCACTCATGTTTGAACTGGTTTCCGTCATTGACCTCCTGCCATTCTCCCCAGAAATCGGTCTCACTGGGTATGGATTGGATCAATGCATCATTTCTCCTGATGTGTGTAGTTTAACGTATGTCCCAGTTATCAGCACGATTCTCTGCTCCTCAGTAAAACATCCTTCAATATTGAGTAATATTGTTCCAATTTCGTTTTTGCTTTCTCCCTCAGTGTCATGATAGGGAAGCAAGTTAATGTAGACCTTTATCATTATCTTGTGATTCTTTCTGGGTCCATTAAGGTGACATATTCACACACTTACCAAATTAAAACAGAATCAAAATGCCCGCAGAAATGTTTCTGTGAGTTCGAGCATCCTCCAGCACGTTAGGTTAGTAAGCAAAACGGAAGGGGCGTGGGCAAGTATCTTTCTGTGGAATCGGCAAGGGGTCTGTGGTCGAGCACCCAGGGACTTGGGACTGAAAACTGTCTGCCCTGGCTTGTGCAGTCTCAGACATGCCACTAACCTGAGCTCAGGTTAATCATCCCAACACTGAGAGTTTAACAAGAGAGTCCTGGGGAAAACTTCCCTTCCATTTCAGTCTATGCAGAGCGCTAAGCTAGATTGAATTCTTGGCCTCATTTTGGTTGAGAAAGCCCATGTAAATGTAAAGAATCTGAATGAATGACATATCCTAGTTGAAAAGTCCTACTAAAACCCCTTACTGTTTCAGTGTCTATTCTTTGGACTTAAATTGAATGAGTCTATGCATATACAAAGAAAATTTATTTATTTATTTATTTATTTATTTATTTATTTATTTATTTATTATTTATTTTTTATTTATTTTAATTTTATTTATTTACAGATGTCCCTTTTTACCCCCGTTGACGCCCTCCACCTCTCATCCACCCCACCCCCAGGCCTTCCCCAGACCAGTGTCTGTGTCCATTGGTTATGCTTATAAACATATAAGTCCTTTGATTAATCTCTCCCCTCCTACTCCCCTCTCCCCACCTTCCCTCTGAGATCCCTTAGTCTGTTCCATGCTTCTATGTCTCTGGATCCACTTTGTTCATCAGTTTATTTTGTTTATTCCACATATAAGTGAGATTATGTGGTACTTGTCTTTCTCTGCCTGGCTTATTTCACTGAGCATAATACTCTCCAGTTCCCTCCATGCAGTGCCAAAGGATAAAAGACCCTTCTTTTTTACAGCTGCAAAGTATTCCATGGTATAAATGTGCCACAGCTTTTTAGAACTACTTAAAATCAATAGGTCATTTATTTAAAAGTGACAAGTTATTCTAGTTAGTTGTTTCCTGATTTCTCTGTAATTCTTTCCAGTATGGAGGACACTTGAATGAGGTCAATGATATATTTGTATCACTTTTCTATTTCAATGTGCTTTGCTTGATTTTGCAGGATGGTCTCTATCTCTCCCTTAAGACCGACCACCTCTGCCTCACCTGCCTCCAGTTGTCCAAGATACTCACTTAATGTAAAGGGATGAGGGGAGGTTGTGAGTGCCGCTATTAATGGCCGGCTATGCTAAGTGAGCTCCAAGCTCTATATGTTCACATAACTAAGAGGGTCCTTTAAAGTGCCTTTTCCTGAGCAAAGGGAGTCTGCTCTATGTTCGTTCTAGCATATATATTTTTTCCTTTGCTAAGACGTCTTTTATTAGGGTAAAAAACACATAAAATTTACTATCTTAACCATATTTAAGTATACATTACAGTAGTGTTAATTTTATGCACATTGTTGTGTGACAGATTCTAGGACCTTTTCATCTTGCAAAGCTGGGCAATGATATTTTACTCCCTGTTTCTGTTTCAGTCTTTGAAGTGGCATCTCTTATCAGCAGTATTGGCTTATATGAAAAAGCGTAAAAATATACTAAGCAAAGAAGCAGAATCCATGGTTTCACTTAAGGTTTGGGTTTTGTGGAACATTCTGAAGAGACAGGTTTAAGAACACAAGTCACAGTCTGTCATGAGGGTCATAAAAATAGAGAGTTTTATTGACCTGAGGAAGGAAAAACAGGGGAAAGCCAGAGGGTGCCCTTAGAGACTACCCCTCAGAAGAATAGAAATCTTGGTGATTCATCAGAGGCGGATCGATTCCTCTTCCTTGCAATGAACTATCCCATGAATAGGTACCTGTGCCTCCCCACCTCCCTCTTACTTCACAACCTATTAAGTTGTTTGAGTTACTTCAAAGTCCTAGGAAACACATTTTAAAGAAATTGAAGCGGAAGATCAAGTGTGAAGGTTTGCACGTGAAACTTCCAGATGTTCAAAACTTGATTCTCTAATGCTCTAATGGGACATAAGGGCTGTCTCTTCTCCCCCTAACAATGTTTATTTCATAAAGAGGTAAGCCCTCTGGATTTGATCTGTGCTTTTAATGCTTTTATTGCCACTTTGCTATGTGAACTAAGGTTTATGTGCAAAATGTCCATATTTTAAAAAATGAAATCATGGCATTGACCACGAATCTGGGGCAGAGTGGACTGTTACCTCAAGTGCATGCCAGGGCTCCATTTCATGACACTGGTTTCAAATCCATCTTATTGAATTACTGTCTTTATGCCTTTGGATTTCCTACTGATCCATTTCAGGTATTTCTTTTGTCTCTTTGTCCTGGTGAAATTTCTAGTTCATTGTTCTTTGTAATCGCAGGTGGAAGCCACAGGAATGGAGCCCCTGTATCTTGGTGCCCGAGGCTGTCAGGCCGGGAATAACAGGCGCCAGGGAAGCCTGTGGAAAAGGGGTGCAAACAAGAGGTAAGGGGACTTTCAAGCAGTTTTGTTCTTAGAATGGAACTTACAATTATGTTACTCTTTTAAATTGTCGATTATGTCTATATTGGAATATGTTGCGGTATTATTAGATTGGCTTATTTGTGTTTGAGTTTAAGTTTGGCATCATTTCACGCTGATATTAGACCATCTTTTAACCTTAAGCAGCTGGTGCATCTAAGGATTAATATAAGCAAATATCTGTTCTCAATCATCAGCATACCCTTATGCTGATCTTCCAAATGCATGTTGGGTATGAGCCAAGGAATGAAGAACATGTAAAGATTAGACCCAATAGTATGCATTGTACTTCTTAGATGCTAATTAAATATTTGTTGAACGAATGAAGGGATAACTGAATTATTGAATAATCTTAATAATCATGACTTAAAGCTTATTGTTATATAAACATATATATATTATATATGTTTATATATGTGTATATATATTGTATATTACATGTTATATATTATATATTATTATCTGTTATATGTTATATATTATATATATAGAAAGGAGCTATTAAAATTTCTAGAAGACATTGTGACTTGGTTTCTGGATCTGAGTAATAGTGTCTTTTGTCATCAATGTCTAGAAAAGTGGCATGTTGAAATCTCTGAAAAATACTCAAGAGAGTCATCAGATTGCTCACTTTTCTGTTTCACTTACAATCCAGGTGCTAGTAATATGAAGTTTGATAAGAGGTGTTTTAATCTTAAAATCTGACCACTTTGTTTCTCAAGAGACCTGTGGCAAAATCAGACCTGCATTACACTGGTTTCATAATTCTTCTAAAAGGCCTATTTAGAATTAAGCCTCTCTTTCTTTTTCTTAGATTATTGTATTAGTCAGGATCAGTCATCCCAGGTAGCACAGTAAATATCTGTTTGTTGACTCAGAGCCATAAAGAGCCCAACATGTCCAGGTGGCAGTCTTAAATTCCAGCTCAGTGGAGTCACTGTCGTGTCTCCCTGTGGAGGCATCCCTCTCTTTGGAATTAAGACCTATAGGCCAGCAGAACATATGATCATGGGGACAGGAAGCAAAAATTTTACTAGTGGGTTATAGGGGTAAGAGTGAGTTGTGTGTGTTACAACGTACCATTGAGGCAGCTCATCCAACTCCTGGTGACTCTATGTTTCCACAATGTCCTGTCCTCAACAGCCCTGCTCAGCCCTTGTAAATTCATGCTTATGGTTTCTTTTATGGAGTCATTTCATCTCATATTTGGTCTTCCTCTTTTCCTGCTGCCTTCTATTTTCCCAGTATTATTGCCTTTTCCAAAGAACCCTGCATTCTCACAATGTGCCTGGAGTACAACAGCTTTGGTTTTGTCATTTTTTGCCTCCAGTGATGTTTTAGGCTTAATTTTCTCTAGGACCCACTTTTTTGTAATCTTTCTAGTGGTCTAGGGTACCTGTAGAGCACTCTTGCAATACCACATTTCAAATGAATCATTTTTTTCTGTCAGCCTTCTTCACTGTCCAACTTTTGCATCCCTATAAAATAATTTGGAATATAATTACAGATGATTTTTCCTAATTATTACACTGCTGTCCTTTGATAGCTATGGGAGTAACAGCACGGTTTGATGCTGAATCAGAGCATATATAGCCTTCTGGAAAACCTTGACCCAGCTCTGCAAGTTATTTCCACCTAGCTGGTGCCTTATCTGAGTCTTAAAAAGACCTTCCCACCATCTATCAAGGCAGCTGCTTCAGGGTAGTGTAGAACATGATAAGACCAGTAAATTCCATGATCATGGGCCCTTTGCCACATTTAATTTGCTATAAAGTGAGTTGCTTGGTCAGAAGCAATGCTGTGTGGAATTCCGTGACTATGGTTCAGTCATCCTATAAGTCCACAGATGGTAGTTTTGACAGAAGCATTGCATGCAGGGAAGGGAAATCCATATTCAGGATAAGAATCTATTCCAGTAAGAACAAAACCTTCCTCCTTCTATGATGGGAGTGGTCCAATGTGATCAATATTCCACCATGTTAGCTGGCTGATCACTCTGGGAAATGGTGCCATATTGGGAATTCAGTGTTGGTCCCTGCTGCTGAGAAATTGGATGCTCAGTGGTGAACATAGCCAGTTAGGCCTTGGAGAATGGCAGTTCATGTTGCTGACCTCATATATAACCTCCATTCCCACCATTATGGCTACTTTATTCATGAGCCACACCATTGAATGTCTAGAAATTTCATTGAGGAAGAATTTTTTCAAATGTTTCCCACTCACTGATGTGAAAATGTTTTATCAAAATGTCTACGTTAGTTGCTACTCTTTGATTACCAGTTCCAGTCAGCAAATTTTCATTAAATTAATGGACAACTGTGATATCTTATTGAAAGAAAAGACTGATTGATATGACCACAAATTGAATCATGAAATAGGGCTGGAGAGTTGCTGTGTGCCTGATATGGAACAGTGAATGTGTATTGTTGGACTTCCAGCTAAAAGCAAACTGCTCCTAGTGGTCTTTACTACCTTCAAACACAGCAATATTTGGGGCTATGGCTTCAACATGACTTTGGGGACTGACACAATTCAGTTCATAAGTTACACTTTGCAAATGATGCCCCTGTTGGAACAGTTGCAGACTGGCAAGGTTGTTTGACATAGGACTGTAATGAGGCTGTATAAGCAGTGACTTTATAAAGTATAAGGACGGCTTCCTAAAAACAACTTACTTCCATATTTCAGAAAATTGTTGTAATAATATGATCTGTTACAAGACCTTTACCTATTTTCTGCTATAAAATTGTTATAAAATATCTAGGTCAGCAATGTCTACATGAATCGTGTTTTTTAAAAATGGCACCTCTGGCGGTACACAACTTAACTCTATATCGTGACCTGGATTTGACACCGTATTACTGGAGTATCAGAATGGTTGGTTTTCATTAAAAAAACCACTTAGTAAATTCCTCAGAGACATTGCTCCTAAATTATGTAGAAACTTATCTCATAAATGGCAAAGCATTTCATCTGTCTTGGAAGAATTCTACTTTGGATTTCAATTTAAGTGCAATCTGGCTGCAGTCCTTTAGGCAAGTGACCTACTTGAGTTTTCCCCAAAATACACACCAACCTTAGAGAATTCCTAATGTTTAGTTGTGGAGAAATTTACACTTTTTAAGTAGTAGTATGAGTCTTCAATTTTAAGATAATGGAGCAAAAATATCTCTACTACCATCTTTTCTCCAAAATTACTTCTAAACCAGCAAGTAAAACATGAAGCAATAACACTAAGTTCCTCTCCCATGAGATCTCCTTTATAAAACTTCTCCAGAGGAGAAGCACACACAGTAAGCTCACCTTAAGTACATTAGGAGCCATCTGCAACCTCAGTTGGAACATCTGATTTAGAGCATGAGGGAGATGTGGAAAAGCACTGCACAGAACAGTATTGTACCTAAGTGTTGGCAGGGGTGAAGGTGCGGGGGCTGAAGGGAAGCAATGTGATTTGGCCTGCTCACCTCCGTAAAGGCACCATGTACTGCAAAAGAGGTATGCAAGGTTTTGTGTGTGCGTGCATGCGTGTGTGTGTGTGTGTGTGTGTGTGTGTGTGTGTATGTGTTGGGAGTGCAAGGAAAAAGAGGGGGGCTTTTGAAAATCTGATTAAAGATCAGTTTCTCATCTTGTACCATGCATAGTCAGGTTCCTGCCTCTTTCTGGCCTTGTAACAGCTTGGAGGTTTATTCTCTGGGGATATGAAAACAGTGGTGTTGTGCACGTTGGACAACAGGCAGAGGGGCTGGAAATGAGGGGCTGGACTCGAATCAGGAGCACCAAAGGACAGTCTGAATAGGGAATTAGGAGATACCCAGTGCCCTTGTTCCAGCTGCTTTAACATGCTGGCCTGTTGGCGCTTACACTTCTTAGTCCCGTGGAAGCCCTTCCAACCTGGAAACACTCTAAAATAAATTTCTCTGTCAAGATGTTCTGAATCGCAGAGGGAGCGTGAGTTCATATCATAATGTCTTGGAAAGGGCAGCTTGGGGTTTCAGATTCTCACGAGAGATTTTCCCCCCTCACTATTCAGTGTTAAGTTTCAGACATGCAAGTGGCCTTGCCAAGACATTTGCTTGGCAGATGTATCCCTAGTTCACCCTTAAACTGAGGCCCAGCCTTTGGGGCCATCACTTCTAGAATGGGGGCTTTTATGAGATTTTCCAGAACAGGCCTTAAAGCCATGGGAGTGGAAACTTTGGTCTCCAAGACTTGATGGAAACCCGCAGGATAGAAGCTGTCCTTCTTGCTTACCTTGCATCCCAAGCTTTTACTTTGTTTTGTGCTTTATGCACTTCTTTCTGTTGGGCCAGCCCAGGTATACATTTAGAGGATATATATTCTATTTATTCTTTTTCTTTTTCATTAGAAAGGTCTTTTATAATTTCTGTGCTCTTATACTGCTCAAAAGAGAAGACATCCTTGTTTTAGCTTATTGTATTTCTACTGCTGACCCGGTTAACTAAATTACAGTAAGAATATATTTATGCTACATACTTCCAATCAAAAAAGAAGGAAAAAAAAGAAATAGAAGGACAGGTGAGATAATCGCAGTAGCTCAATGTCTGTGCCATTTCCACAGAGATGGGCATTTAAGTACCACTGTCCTAGCTGTCCCATTATTCAGGGGCAGAGGTGTATGTTCTGCCCAGCTTCCTGTCCTTCATCTGAATAAAGAAGGATGGTAGCTCAGCTTTTATGGCAAATGAAAGCATAAGAGACAGAAACTTAAAATAGTCTAACATACTTTGATGAAACTGCCCTTAATAGGGTAAAAAATTGATTCTAATAAAAAAAGAAGGTGAACATGCTGACGTTCCTAGGAGAGAGTGAATTTGTCTATGGAGTGATACGGCCTGGTTCTTATTTTGCTGTTCACAGTGACCACTTGAAAAGTGGCTTAACGGACTTGCCAGTATTTTTCTTCTGCATATTATATTCTCCTTATTCATTAGCTTGTGAGTATA